ACATCTCATCTGCTGCGTATACGCGGCCGCAATGTGCGCATGCGTCGGAGAGTGGCAATGTAGGTCGTGTGCGCGCGTCCCCACCTGCGCGCAAAGCCCCTGGGCTGAGCTGCGCGCGGGCCCTGTGACCCGCGTCGCGCTGCGCCCGCGGCTGGAGTTGGCACGTCGCACCGGCGGGCGGGGGCGGCGGCGGGGGCGGNNGGGTCGGCGGCGGCACGGCGGGGTCAAGCCCAGGAGAGCAAACACTGCAACGGGGCGTAGGTGGAACTGGCGCCGCACGGGGCTTAGAGTGCGCTGCCGGTATCTCTTGGGGGCGACCCGTGGGGTACCGGCCACACCGCTCGCCCTACACCTCAGTGTACTGGGGTTCAAATCCCGATCAATCCGTAGTCGGCAAAGGTAGCTCAGGGCATCTATTGATATCCCTACAGTGCCTCTCCAGGAGGGTTCTTGGATTCGAGTTCCGATGGTGACACGGTTTTTGACACTAGCTAGATAGCTAGCTCGAATTACTAATACACTTAGGAGACCAGCTGGGAGTATAGAGCTTGTCCCGGCTGGAGAAGTGCCCAGCTGCTGGTGGGAGATATCTTGTGGGGAAATATTCCCTCTAGCGGCGTAGGTCATGGCCGGATCTCACCAGCCAGCGCGGGAAGATCGTCGTGAACTGCGATAAACACATGCACCGCACTCACGGTACGAATAGCCTCAATCGTTGATGCACCCGGAATCACTAATAAATCAATCGATGGATCCGTGTGGGATTTGTGGTCAACAAAGCGTATTCGTAGCGGGTTTTGTCGGGGTTCTACTGTTTCCCCTGCCTCTCAGTCGTTATGCGATCATAATACAATCATAACATCTATCCATGTAATTACCAATTCATCAAATAATATTCGTGTTCTCCCGGTTTGACTGCACTGCAAGAAACGCACGTAGTGTAATACTAAAAACTAGCTTGTTGTGATGTCTCCAGCGCTTAAAACAGTTTTCAAAGTATGTTTATTGATTTTTTTTTTAAATGAACACAAACACCTACTCACCAGCAAACTGGGATGCATCGATTGATTGATTAATTAGTGTTTCCGGGCACGTTAACTGCTAATGTAATGAGTCCCGTAAGTTTAGTATATGTTAGTACATGTTAGTCGGAAGTGGCGGTGCTCTTGGTGAGATACCACACCTAGCTCGATGGTGAGATACCGCGCCGACCTACCCGTCGGTTTGCTGTTTTTTTTCTCATCTAAGTATCTTCCACCAGCGGGGCATCGGGACAAGATCTAAAATCTCCGATCGGGAGATCGGGAGCTTAGAGCTTGTCCCGGCTGGGGCGGTGCCCCCCTGGTAAGAGATACCTGTTTGGGAAAAACATCGCTAGCCGATGGTAAGTCGACGCCAGATCTTACTATCCAGCGAGAGATCACCACCACCATTAGAGGAAAAACTACACTTAAGAGGTTAATGGCTTTAGCAATTGACACACCAGGAATCACTAATCAATCAGTCAAAAAAATCGTCTAGGCAGCTGAATTCGCCTAGTTAGAATAGTCGATCGCGTCTAGTGATAACTCGTCTGTCCAAAACGATGGAGCGGAAGTAGTCTTCAATAATGCATTCTCATGCTGTGCCTTCCCCACGATTCCGTCTGTCCTCATCAATCTTTCTTTATTTATTTGTATCTTTTCTTTCTTGCCTTACTACGAAAGTAGTTAAGAAAAAGAATCCTAGCCATGCGGCCTAAACTGGCGGCAGAAAAATTCTTATTGTCGGACGCTGGTATAGAAAAAGTGGATAAATCTTGTAACTGTATGTAGAAAATTACCGCCTTTAACACGTATAGTCAGCATCTACTCTAGTGTTTATACATAATGAAAATGCATCTCCCTTAAATGTGCCTCCCAATTTTCACACTTCCTGTCACTCTCACTCTTACGCCGTCGTTGTCTTACAACTTAACACATTTTTCACAGCAAGTATTTCATAAAAAGGTACGTTAATTAACATTTTTCATATCTGTGTTCTACTTTTACTATTATTTTGACTTATTTTGTGTCAAACGTCAATTTTATTTTAACAGTCGAAGGAATTGAAAAATGTTGGATTGTTTGTTATTTTCTAGATCACGCTGTATTCATGTTGAAACATCCTTTCACATTTAAAATTTGAGAGCTTTGTGAACACTCCCAGGAGGCACGCATACTATGCGCAAGAAAGATTGTTGATTTAAACTCCTTCAAAATGCTCTTTTCTTTTGACCTTTTGACTCTTTTGATATTTGTATGTTTGCTTTTCTGCTTTTGCATTTTTAGAAACCTTTAATGCAGAGTGTATACAAAAAAGGAATATCAAAAAACTCTATCCCTATTTTTGCATGAAAAGATGAACGTTGTAAATAAACATAATGCAGTGAAACGCGTAACGATGTTTTTTCTTTTAGGTAAATACAGATTGGCACGATTCTCCAGCTTATTCAGCGATTCTCCAACTTAAGCAAACATTCAACTGCAATATTTATTGGCTTTAAATCAGTTAGTAGTTATTCATGGAATAAGTATCGCAACACATTTTATTACAATGCGTGATTTAAAAATTATCAAACGAGGCTGGGAGGCCGATCGAGTATTATAAGATTGTTAAATATGTAGAATTGTAAAAATTGTGTGATGTTACAATAAGAATATACTGTCAATCGTAGTCTGTGAGTTATTAGAACACTTGTGTAAACACTTTCCTTCTTTATTATGAACCTTTTTATTATGTATTATCCCTAGAGTGGATTCGGACTCGTGTTAGAGGCTGTAATTTTCTACATATAGTTACAAGATTTATTCACATTTTCAATACTAGTGTCCAACAATAAGAGTTTTTCTGTCGCCAGTATCGGCCGCATGATTGTACTTAATAACGGACTATAGATTATCAGAACTTTTGAGTTTTAATAACTCATATTACGTAAATTAACCAAGATTCGTGAACTCTGACTTACGAAAACCAAAGTGCATTGAACTTAATAAAATTACAATTTCTCTGCCTTTTTTATTTTAGCATGAAATCCTAGTTCTTTTTATGATGTATTTTATTTCTTCATGCAACATCTTTAAACGAATCTCTTAATCTGATGGGTTGTTATGATGCCATGATTTGATGAAATGTAACAAAATGATGAGGAATGGATATGTTATGTAAATATTGTCCATTGTTTCGTTTCTGCAATTACACGACGAAACACACCTGCAAATATAGTGTGCAAGGCCTTCTAGAGGGAAGTATTGCTGTATCGGCCGGCTGAAACTATTCCTTTATTATACGACAAATGCACCAGTTACATTGACTACGGCATTCATATCATCTACAGTCATAATTAAACCAATATGGTAAAATAATCCATCAAGTTTGAATTTAAAATTGAGTATCGTTTCAGTACTGTTCTTTAAACGTATTAAATTGTTATTCTTTATTCCTTCAGTCTTCGAATAACCACTTCAACAAATAAATTTCAAAAAGTGATATTTCTGTAAAATTAAAGGATTTATTCAATATTTTACAATGTCCAGCTTCAAGGTCATTAATCTAAATTTCTATGAATTCTTACACTGTAAATACTTTGCGTAATTTAATACTTATTTATTATTTAATATATTTTTACAAGAAAGAACACGACCCCTGGACGAGGAAACGTGGAATAATTCAATTAAATGAGTATTATTAAAAACCATCTCAGATATTTTATTCCTTGCATTCTAAATATATTCTACAGATATTTCTTTAAACTTTTTTCTCACCTCCTCCCAAAACAAGAAGTTCACAAACAATTAAATTCCAAGTAAATAAAACTGCTTAAAGTGGCCATAATTGTGTCATCTGCTCTATATAGAATTGAATTTTCCATAAAGAAAGCTGTAATAGCATATTCTCGCACTTCAAAAGTAAATTTAATCTCCACTCGCGTTGCATCCTTATACCCACGATGCGTCTCACCCACCTCGAAGCCTCCTTCTCACATTTCATTGTGTTACCCACGTTGCATCCTTCTATCCACGTTGCATCCCTTTACCGACGTTGCATCCTCCTATAAGTGTTTCACTCTCGTATCTACGGTGTATCGTCCTATCTCACTGTAATCTCCTACTCACGTTGCATCCTTCACCTACGTTGTGTCATTCACCCATGTTGCATACTTCTTCCCATGTTGCATCGTCCTACCTACGTTGCATCATCCTACCCGTTGTATCCTACTACCCACGTTGCATTTCTTCACATATGTTGCATCTTCCTATCCACCATGCAGCTTGTTGCCCATGTTGCATCCTCCTGCACATGTTGCATACCTTAACCTACGTTGCCTCCTCCTATACGCGTTTCATTCTCCTATCTATGGTGTATCCTCCTGTCACATTGCATCCTCCTAACCGTTGAATCCTCCTATCCACCTTACACCCTCCTACTCACATTGCATCCCCCTACCGACGTTGTATTCTCATACCGACGTTGTATCCTCCTACCTACGTTGCATCTTGCTGCCCACGTTACATCGTCCTGCCCAAGTTGCATCCCTTTACCTACGTTGCAGCCTCCTATGTGCGTTTAATTCTCCTATCTATGGTGTATACTCTTGTAACATTGCATCCTCCTACTCACGTTGCCTCTTCTTTTCTACATTGCATCCTTCACCTACGTTGCATCCTTCACCCACGTTGCATCCTTCACCCACGTTGCATCCTTCACCCACGTTGCATCCTTCACCCACGTTGTATCCTTCACCCACGTTGTATCCTTCACCCACGTTGTATCCTTCACCCACG